AAGTGCCATCGAGTTGGTTCCGACCCATAGCGACCCTGTACAGGGTTTCCGAGGGTGTAACCCTTCTATATAGAGCTCATGTATCCAGGATTCCCCTAATACAAAGCTCTGTGCACTGAACTCAGCTTTCATTTCTCTTGTGAATAAAATAAGCCTTGGGCCTCTTTAAGTGCCATCAGCATAGCATGGACTTCAGTGGACACTTTCATGCACTGAGAGACTTGTCCTGTGGGTGCCTTCCTGAGATATTTATTTGGTTTCTGGCAAGTTTGATGTCATGATTTTGATGCAAATAAACTCACACCTGTCAATCATCAGAGCTTCTAGAGAACAGAGTACTGTCTTGGTGACAAGGAATCTTTCATTGGTCATCAAGGTCTTCCTTGCGATGTACATTTGTCCATGAGTTCCATGTGTAAACTGTCATCATCTTGGTTTTAATGCTGAGGGAACTTGTGTACATTATCCTAGAGGGGACTGGGGGATTTACCCTACGGCACCACACTGGGACTCCTGAGCTCTGTGGTAGCTCTACCCATTTGTTTTCTTAGAGAAGCTAAGGAAACATCTGAGGAGACTGGAAATAAGAGTCACTGAGGCCCATGTATCAGGAAGCCCAAGGAAATGTAATTTTAGGCCATGAATGAAGGAAATCAGTTAGCTATAAAAAGTTTATTTTGGCTTGCAGACCCAACTTCACAGATACCTGAACTTATTCTGTTGATTTTAGTTGTCCTTTTGTACCTGTAGACACGGAGACCCTTTGCCTTTGTAACGTTACATGTGTGGTATGTGTAATTCCTTTCTACTTAGCTCTCCTAATGATACCTGTGTATGTTACTGTCCTTCTCCATCCTGATAGAAGTATTTCTTAGTAAATTGCATTTTAACACTTGTCAAAGTGCTGGTTTAGCAATATGGGGCTGAGTCTTTTTTTTCTAGGAACCTCTGTTTCCTCTAATCATTCCCATTTGATGCTAATTGTGGACTTTAACCTGAATAATTGGATCAGTGGCTGAAAACTTTAATGGAGAAAAGTTAGCCAGTGAGCATTTAATTATACGACATCTGAAGAGCAACGCCTGGTTATTATGCATCGCAGGTGCAATCCAGAAATCACATGGCTGGAAGGGTCACCTTAACAACCAAGGGAGACATTTGAGGTGAGTGTGATTCCAACAACAGAAATTAGTGCTTCACAAAATCTCAGGAGGTGTCATAACATCAAAATACACTGAAATGAGGGGCTCCAAATAGTTCATGGAGAACTCCATCATCTTTCTATTGCATCATTCTGTGAACAATTTTGATTGAGGAATTGCTGGACAAACAAAGGTTACATATCTATTTCCCAACAGTCAAATCTCTTTCCTTTTAAATTGTGAGTCAATTAAGAAACCTTCAGTAGTGTGCCATTCAGATATGGTGGGAGGCTGCACAGCACTAAATGTCTGTTGATCTCCAGAGTCCTACAACATATCCGGTCTGTGATGTAAGACTCTTGGTATCCATGCAGGTGTTTGGATTGTTGCAGGAGTGTGTAGAGCGATACCATTCATATTGGTGGTTTGCTCACCATCCTTGAATGCAGTACCAGTGATTGTTTCTTCATCAAATCAAATTCTACTAAGCAAAAGTTTTGATTGCTATACACTCTGGACACTTTTCTCATTTATGTTGGAAGTGGCTGAGTAATTCCAAAGTGGTTTGAATCCCTGAAGCCGACTGATGTATATGTGTTGTGTTTGCTGAGTCAGTTCTGACTTTTAGCAACCCTTTGTTGACTTTCCAAGGAGTAGCTGTTGTTACATGCCGTGAAGACATTCCACTTTGTGGGTCAAATCTAGCTTGCTGCCTAGTGTTAATCCTTCATCAGGACCCATGTGTATATGTATATGTGTATAATCCTGCCTGTAAAACGATAGGTTCCGTGAAAATTCACATAAGAATGTTTTCGTAAGTATTAGCAAAATATTTAAAGCATATTTCACTTGGACACAATGAGCAGGAAGTCTTACACATTGACGGCAATGGTAGTCGTCCTAGATGAATCTTGAGACAATTTAGGAAAAAGACATGCATGTTCACTGTTTTCGGTAATGCTGTCATGCAACAACATTTGTTTCCAACACGATAACTGACTTTTTTTTTCTTGTCTCCTTGTTGAAAATGGAGTGGTTTGCAGAGGACACCATTGGTTTACATTTACACTACCTGTTTTTAACAGAACTGGTGCATTCGAGAACCTGTGTGAATATTCTGAACGCAACCAGTGTGGGGAAACCTCCAGCCCGATTCCTGGTCTTTCTGTGCATCAAGTCGATCCCACAGAAGTAGATCCTTTTGAATGCTGTGAGTATGGAGAAGCCTTCCTGGATCATTCCCTAGAGAACAATCGTAGTAGAGCTCACACTGGAAGCAGTATCTGTCAGTGTCCCGAGTGTGGAGAAGACTGCAGGTGTCCTTCTCCTCTGACCACGCCTGTGAGCACTCCTGGTGGGAAAAATACTCATAAATGTAAGATAAGTGGAGACAGGCCGCATGAATATACGGCGTGTGGGAAAGTCTCTGGTGAGGTGTCACTCCTCCCTGGACTTGTAGGAACTCACAGTGCACAGAGGCCATTTGAATGTAAAGAGTGTGGGAAATCCTTTAGGGATTCCTCACAGCAGAGTCGACATTTACAAACTTACAGTGGAGACAGGCTCTATGAATGTAATCAATGTGAGAAAGCCTTTAGCCGCGCCTCAAAGTTCACGAGACATAAAATAGTCCACAATGCAAAGAGAGCTTATGAATGTAAGGATTGTGGTAACACTTTTAGGTGTACCTCAGAACTGACTGCACATAAAAGAATCCACAGCGGAGAGAAGCCTTATGAATGTAAGCAATGTGGGAAAGCCTTCAGACGGTCCTCACACTGCCGTAGACACATGCGAACTCATAGTGGAGAGAGGCCCTATGAATGTAAAGAATGTGGGAAAGCCTTTAGAACAACTGCACATCTTACAGGACATAGAATAATCCACAGTGGAGAGAAACCTAATGAATGTAAGGAGTGTGGGAAAGCGTTTAAAAGCAACACATACCTAAGAATACATACAAGAAACCACAGTGGAGAGAAGCCTTATGAATGTAAGGTGTGTGGCAAAGCGTTTAGAACAACTTCACAACTTACAAGACATAGAGGAATCCACAGTGCGGAGAGGCCCTATGAATGTAAGGAGTGTGGGAAAGGCTTTCTAACACCCTCAAGACTCAGAACACATACAATAATCCACAGTGGAGAGAAGCCTTATGAATGTAAGGAGTGCGGGAAAGCATTTAGAACAACTTCACAACTTACAATACATAGAGGAATCCACAGTGCGGAGAGGCCCTATGAATGTAAGGAGTGTGGGAAAGGCTTTCTAACACCCTCAAGCCTCAGAACACATAAAATAATCCACAGTGGAGAGAGGCCCTATGAATGTAAAGAATGTGGAAAAGCCTTTAGAACAACCGCACATCTTACAGCACATAGAGTAATCCACAGTGGAGAGAAGCCTTATGAATGTAAGGAGTGTGGGAAAGCCTTTAGCAGAACCTCACACCTTAAATCACATAGAATAATCCACAGTGCAGAGAAGCCCTATGAATGCAAGCAATGTGGAAAAGCCTTTAAAACAACTGCAACCCTTAGAAGTCATAGAAGAACCCACACTGAAGATAGGCCCTATGAATGTAAAGAATGTGGAAAAGCCTTTAGAACAACCTCACATCTTACAGTACATAGACTAATCCACAGTGGAGAGAAGCCTTATGAATGTGAGGAGTGTGGGAAAACCTTTAAAAGTACTTCACAACTTAAAAGACATAGACTAATCCACAGTGCAGAGAGGCCCTATGAATGTAAGGAGTGTGGGAAAGCGTTTAGAACAACTTCACACCTTACAAGACATAGAAAAATCCACAGTGCAGAGAGGCCTTATGAATGCAAGCAATGTGGGAAAGCCTTTAGAACGCCTGCACTCCTTAGAAGGCATAGAAGAATCCACAGTGGAGAGAGGCCCTATGAATGTACAGAGTGTGGAAAAGCCTTTTTTCAGTCCTCAAATCTCATACAACATAGAAGAATCCACAGTGGAGAGAAGCCTTATGAGTGGAAAGAATGTGGAAAAACCTTTGCTTGTGCCTCTTCCCTCAGTATACATAAGCAAATTCATAGTGGAGAGAGACCTTAAACATGTAAACAGTGTGGGAAAGCCGTTACAAGAGCCTCAGCCCTTACTGTACATAGAAGAATCCACAGTTGAGAGAATCTATGAGTATAAGGAATCAAGGGAAAGGTTTACCCATTTCTCAAGTTTCAGATCACATAGAAATATCCACAGTGGAGAAAGACCCTATGAAAGTAAGGAATGTGTTGGTGGTGGTGGTTATGTGCTGTGGATTCAGTTCCAACTTATAGGGATCCTGTACAGGGTTTCCGAGGCTGGAAATCTTTATGGGAGCAGAAAGCCTCATCATGTGGGGAAATGTTAAATCATCACTTAACCCTCCTTTCATATAAAGAGTACACAGTAGAGGGAAACCTTCA